CTTTCTGTTTCAGAAGGTTGAAAAAGCTTTCTGTTTCAGAAGGTTGAAAAAGCTTTCTGTTTCAGAAGGTTGAAAAAGCTTTCTGTTTCAGAAGGTTGAAAAAGCTTTCTGTTTCAGAAGGTTGAAAAAGCTTTCTGTTTCAGAAGGTTGAAAAAGCTTTCTGTTTCAGAAGGTTGAAAAAGCTTTCTGTTTCAGAAGGTTGAAAAAGCTTTCTGTTTCAGAAGGTTGAAAAAGCTTTCTGTTTCAGAAGGTTGAAAAAGCTTTCTGTTTCAGAAGGTTGAAAAAGCTTTCTGTTTCAGAAGGTTGAAAAAGCTTTCTGTTTCAGAAGGTTGAAAAAGCTTTCTGTTTCAGAAGGTTGAAAAAGCTACCAGAGGAGAAGCTGTTCTGGATTTGGTTTTAACAAATAGGGAGGAACTAGTTGAGAACTTGAAAGTGGAAGACAGTATAGGGGACAGTGATCACGAAATAATAGAGTTCATGATCTTAAGGAAAGGTAGAAGGGAGACCACCACAATTGAGGTTATGGATTTCAGGAAGGCAGATTTTGATAAGCTCAGAGAACTTGTAGGTAAGGTCCCATGGGAAGCAAGACTGAAGGGAAAAACAACTGAGGAGAGTTGGAAGTATTTCAAAGGGACGTTGTTAAGGGCCCAAAAGCAAACAATTCCGCTGTGTAGGAAAGATAGAAAATATGGCAAAAGACCAGCTTGGCTTAACAAGGAGATCTTGCATGATCTCAAAATAAAAAAGGAGTCATATAAAAAATGGAAACTAGGACAACTAACAAAGGATGAATATAGGCAAGCAACACGGGAATGCAGGGGCAAGATTAGAAAGGCAAAGGCACAAAATGAGATCAAACTAGCTACAGGCATAAAGGGAAACAAGAAGACCTTTTATAAATACATTAAAAGCAAGAGGAAGACCAAGGACAGGGTAGGCCCACTGCTTAGCGAGGAGGGAGAAGCAGTAACAGGGAACTTGGAAATGGCGGAGATGCTCAATGACTTCTTTGTTTCGGTCTTCACCGAGAAGTCTGGAGGTGTGCCTAACGTAGTGAATACAAGCAGAGAGAGGGTAAGTTTAGAAGATAGGATACACAAAGAACAAGTTAAAAATCACTTAGGAAAGTTAGATGTCAGCAAGTCACCAGGTCCTGATGAAATGCATCCCAGGATACTCAAGGAGCTGATAGAGGAGGTATCTGAGCCTTTAGCTATGATCTTTGAAAAATCATGGCAGACAGGGGAGATTCCAGAAGACTGGAAAAGGGCAAATATTGTGCCCATCTATAAAAAGGGGAATAAGAACAACCCAGGAAACTACAGACCGGTCAGTTTAACGTCTGTCCCAGGGAAGATAATGGAGCAGGTAATTAAGGAAATCATATGCAAACACTTGGAAGGTAATAAAGTGATAGGGAATAGCCAGCATGGGTTTGTGAAGAACAAGTCATGCCAAACTAATCTGATAGCTTTCTTTGATAAGATAACGAGCCTTGTGGATAAGGGAGAAGCGGTGGATGTCATATACCTAGACTTTAGTAAGGCATTTGATACGGTCTCGCATGATATTCTTATTGATAAACTAGGCAAATATAACTTAGATAGGGCCACGATAAGGTGGGTGCATAATTGGCTGGATAACCGTAGTCAGAGAGTTGTTGTTAACGGTTCTAAATCCTGCTGGAAAGGGATAACAAGTGGAGTTCCTCAAGGGTCTGTTTTGGGACCCATACTGTTCAACATCTTCATCAATGATGTAGATATTGGGATAGAGAGTACGCTTATTAAGTTTGCAGATGATACCAAACTGGGTGGGGTTGCAACTTCTTTGGAGGATAGGGACATAATTCAAAATGACCTTAGCAAGTTAGAGAAATGGTCAGAGGTAAACAGGATGAGGTTTAATAAAGAGAAATGCAAAGTGCTCCACTTAGGAAGGAACAATCAGTTCCATACATACAAGATGGGAAGCGACTGTCTAGGAAGGAGCATGGCAGAAAGGGATCTAGGGGTCATAGTGGACCACAAGTTGAATATGAGTCAACAGTGTGATGCTGTTGCAAAAAAAGCAAATATGATTCTAGGTTGTATCAACAGGTGTGTTGTAAGCAAAACTCGTGAAGTCATTCTGCCGCTCTACTCTGCACTAGTTAGGCCTCAGCTGGAGTACTGTGTCCAGTTCTGGGCGCCACATTTCAAGAAAGATGTGGAGAAATTGGAAAGGGTACAGAGAAGAGCGACAAGAATGATTAAAGGTCTAGAGAGCATGACCTATGAAGCCAGGCTTCATGAACTGGGCTTGTTTAGTTTGGAAAAAAGAAGATTAAGGGGGGACATGATAGTGGTTTTCAAATATCTAAAAGGGTGTCACAAGGAGGAAGGAGAAAATTTGTTCCTCTTGGTTTCTGAGGACAGGACATGGAGTAATGGGCTTAAAGTGCAGCAGGGGAGGTTTAGATTGGACATTAGGAAAACATTCCTAACTGTCAGGGTGGTCAAATATTGGAATAAATTGCCAAGGGAGGTGGTGGAATCTCCCTCTCTGGAGATATTTAAGAACAGGTTAGATAGACATCTGTCAGGGATGGTGTAGGTGGAGCTTGGTCCTGCCTTGAGGGCGGGGGGCTGGACTCGATGACCTCTTGAGGTCCCTTCCAGTCCTATTATTCTATGATTCTATGATTCTATGATCTCAGACCCATTGAAGCAGAAGTCCTTCAATTACACAGGATCGGGCCCTAATTGTTTAACTGGAAATAAGTCATAACTAAGCATCTCACATTTTTCATTTAAATTCTCCACCTCTAGCACCTTGGTGGCAAAAACTATTTCCATCAATGTAAGGGTCCTATTGAATCCCAGACATCCATGGGAGCCAGTTTCATCTATTATTTTCCTACTGTACCCCTCCCTCTTTCAGAGGAAGCCTTTTTGAACTACAAGTACAAGATGTACAAAGGACAAATAATTCCACTGGGAACTGCACCACTTGTCAATGTTATGACATCACTTCTGACTTACGAAAATTGTCTTGATGCATCAAAAAGTCTCTAATTTAATTTCTCTTAAAATATGATTTGCAGGTTCAACATGAATGAAAAATGGAAAAATCTGTGTATTGTGGTGCTATGCATCTGTCGGTACTGTGTATTTTAAGCGACGTTTCTAAGTAGGATTGAAGATCCAAGATAAAATGGCCTTTGAACCCAGCACATGGTTGCACTGGCCCTGATCCTTGCTTTGCTGGAGGATCATTTTGCATTACTCAGTCGCGGCCAACCATAGGTGGATCATCCCTTCACTGAACACACCTGTTGTCAGTGCAGAGGAGCAGGGCCAGGGAAATAAGGGCATGGATGTGCCACAGCAATGTTCAGCATCACACCTTCGGGGCCATGGAGAAATGGCATGAGAGCAGTTATCAGGCTGTATTAATTTCTGACAATTAGATAGCCTAAGATCAGTCACTTTTGCATCCCCTTCTGAATCAGACTGTGCATTCCTCGGCTGTAGTCTGGATGGTCTCCTTCTCTCTATTTCTTGCTTCAATTTTATTTTAAATTACAGAATGTCTTCCCTGGGAAACGTATTCAGGAACTCTTCCTATCATAGTTCTGTCTGTTGTAGCACTTATTTGTTATTTATAGGAAACAATCTCTTTAAATGTACACCAACAGGACAAAATGCCAGACCCTAAGAATTTCTGTAAAAACTTTACATTGTTCTCAGAGAGTAATCATCTGGAATTCTTATACCTAATTATACAACTTTGAATTTAGGCTTTGGTGTGAATAATTTCAGCTTTTAAAACCAGTCACGTGACAGAATTCTGGAATCCCCAGATGCCTATGGGGCACTGTCAGCTGACGGTCAGGGCAGTGTGTGTGTGTGTGTGTGTGTGTGTGTGTGTGTGTGTGTGTGTGTGTTTCCGAGAAAAGGTTTAACGTCCGTGTCTTTACTGCTAGGACCGGGGTCCCATCGCAGAGGGTGGCCAGCAGGCCAACAGACGCCCCGTTATATAGGAAGAGCTTATTACACCTTAGATTTTAGCTGCTAGAACACAAAGTTCCTTCGCAGCGGGCAGCCTGGGAAAGGCTGAAAAGGTGCCCCAACGGATCTTGTCACCTGGGAGTGACACAGATCCAAATGCCCAAGCTCTCCCTATGTCTGTCCCTTTATGACCGGCTGAAGTTCTTTTAAATTGTGCTTGGTTCTGTTACAGCAACTGAAGGAGTCAGGTTAAAGCTTAAACAGTTACAGGTTTATTAAAAGACTTATAAAAGCATATGGTTACAATGGCTATTGCTCTATTTCATAATTATTAGCAAAATACAGATCTTAAAATGGTTACAGGAAAAAGGTAAAGATAGAAAATAGAAATAATGGTACCAAGTGACAGCTTAATCTTTAAAGAGCTCTAACACTATGTATATATATACTTAAACAAAGGACCACATCCAGGTACAATTTTTACCCCTTTCTGTGCCTCTCGACTCCAGCGTGTCAGGCCAGGGTCAGTCTCTCAATTCCTAGGAAAGATGAATACGAGGTGGGCGTCCCCTTGGAACCTCGGGAGATCAAACACCTAACCCAACCAGCAGATAGATGGTAGATTGACACTCAGAGAAAATGCGCTGCTGGACCCATCTTTATACCCTGTGGGGGCCCGTATCCTCTTTCTTATCTAAGATGCCGAATTGTACTGGTCCATTTTGTGGCGCCAGTTCTTACAAGCAAGTTTCAAGTTAATTTACACTTGCAAGAGAGATAACTAAATTGTGAATACTAGACATTTTTTTTACTGGGCGAGAGATTCCTCCCCCCGCGGGCGGCTGAGTGTTCGTATCAATATGGGTTTGAGTCAAGGGCACTCCTTGGCAGCCTCTTGGTTAGCAATTGGCATATCTCTGTTTACAGCCATTCACGGTCACAGCAGCCTGGGCCTTCTGCTCTGTGTGCCCTGGATGCTCCAGGCAAGCAAAAATGGATGTTACAAGGGGGGTTCCTGTCTGGCTAGAGGCACTGAAGAAATAAACAAACATAAAGATAAACTATTAGTTAACCTTTTCTGTGAAGCTTCAGTTAAAATAGTAAGCAGCCAGTAAGTAAGTACTGGTTCCTGCAACATTACTTATGGGAGCAGTTCCTTTGACTTTTTATGAGGATGGGAGTGCTCATGTCTGTAAGGGTTTACAAGGTTACTACCTATATTTTAATTAGCATGGAAGTGATTTAAAGTGACCAAATATCATTAGAATAGTGATAGAAATGTAGCCGTGTTAGTCTGGGGTAGTTGAAGCAAAATGCAGGACAATGTAGCACTTTAAAGACTAACAAGATGGTTTATTAGATGATGAGCTTTCGTGGGCCAGACCCACTTCCTCAGATCAAATAGTGGAAGAAAGTAGTCACAACCGTATATACCAAAGGATACAATTAAAAAAAAGAACAAATATGAAAAGGACAAATCACATTGCAGAACAGGAGGGGGATGCGGTGGGGGGGAGGGGGAAGGAAGGTAAGTGTCTGTGAATTGATGATATTAGAGGTAGGGAGAGTGGGATGTTTGTGAGTTAATGGTATTAGAGGTGATAATTGGGGAAACTATCTTGGTAATGGGTGAGATGACAAACATTTGAACTAAGTCCTTGTTGGAAAGTGTCGAATTTTAACATGAATGACAGTTCAGAGGATTCCCTTTCACGTGCAGATGTAAAAGGTCTTTGTAGCAGAATGCAGGTGGTTAAGTCATTGAGAGAGTGTCCTTTCTGGTTAAAATGGCAAGAAACTGTTTTTTCTTTGTGATCTTGTCTGATATCTGTTTTGTGGGCATTAATCCTTTGGCGAAGTGTCTGAGATGTTTGTCCAATGTACATAGCAGACGGACACTTTCGGCACATGATAGCGTAGATTATATTTCTGGATGCGCAGGAATATGTGTTCTTGATCTTATAACTTACTTGGTTAGGTCCAATAATGGTATCAGCAGAATGAATATGTGGACAAAGCTGGCAACGGGGTTTGTTGCAAGGGAAGGTACCAGGGTTGGTATTAGTGTGGTATGTCCTGTGGTGGTTGGTAAGAATCATCTTGAGGTTAGGTGGTTGTCTATAGGAGACTATGGGTCTGTCTCCCAGAGCCTCTTTGAGTATGGTATCCTGTTCCAATATAGGCTGTAGTTTCTTGATAATGTGTTGGACAGGTTTAGAAAATTCTGAAATATAGTTGCTTAGCAGCAGATTTTGCAGGAGGCATAATAATTTTATTTGTGAGGCATTTCAACAGTGGGCTCATTCCATCCGTTCCTGCTCTATCCAAAGTGTTGATGACTTTTAGGGAGTTTTAGTTGTCCATGGCTTTCAGACTAAAATGTGGTAATGTTGCACAAGGATTTCATTGTAGCTGCAAAGCATGAACATCCAAAATATTTCTAATGCTATTATATAATGAATGATTGTTTTTCCATGGTAAGGATATTTGTTTTTTCATAGACTGTGGCATTTAATAGCTGTTGTATAAACAGTAGAATTTGCAACTTGAGTTCTCTCTGCACATCTTCCCTGTCTCACCTCCAATGGCCTAGAGGCATTTTGACAAAACATTTCTAGAGAAAACTGCTGGGCCTGATGCATTATCCCTGGTTATCCAGATGAAGTTCCTTCAGCTCAGTTTCCCAGGTCACCTAACTTATCTGATCAAGATTTTCTGCCAGAAATCCCATTAAAATGCCTATCAGCATACAAAGTGCATGTATTCTCTTTGATATCAGAACAATTTCCTGCTAATGTTCAATTAACTTATCAAAAACTTCCAAGGGTTTCACACTGGCATTGTGTATGTTTTCAGGGGTATGCAGGAAAGGGAGACAAAGAGGATATTTGTCAGGCCCGGTCTACACTGCAGATTTGAGTCAATGGAGGGCAGCTTATGTCAACCTAATTGTATAAGCATCTAAACCAAAACGCAGTTTCCATCAATGTAACTCACCCACTATGCTGACTTAATAACTCTACATCCATGAGAGGCAGTGTTTTGTTCCATATAGCTGGGTTGATGCAGTGTCAGGGTGGACGCTGTATTATTTACATTGACTTTAGTGGTCTCCAGGAGCTCCTAGAATCATAAAACCATAGGGTTGAAAGTGACCTCAGGAGGTCATTGAGTCCAACTCCTTGCTAAAAGCAGGACCTATCCCAATGAAATCACCCAGGCAGGGCTTTGTTAAGCCAGGATTTAAAAACCACTAGAGATGGAGATCCCACCATCTCCCCAGGTAACCCATTCATTCCAGTGTTTCTCCACCCTCCTAGTGAGATGTCCCATAATGGCCCATCATAGCAAATGTCTAGCTGACCATGAAGGCTCTACACTGCAAACATGCTCCTGGCTGAAGAATACAGAGGTATTGGTTCTTCCGGGTCTGTGGGGAGAAGAGGCCATGCAGGCACAGCTCTGATACTGCTGTAGAAATGTTGACATCTATGAGCATATTGCTCAGAGCATGGGGAAGTAGGGCTATGAGAGGGAAATACAGCAGTGCTGTGTGAAAATCAAGGAGCTGCAGCAAGCATAACAGAAGTCAGGAGTCAAACAGTTGCTTTGGTGCAGAGCCATAGACCTGATGTTTTTATTCGGAGCTGCATACCATCCTCAGCACCTTGTACTGAACCCTGAGGATGAGGTGCTGGATGCAGAAGTGGAGGAGGGCAGGGGGGATCCAGTGTCACTGCAATCCAGGATCACTTTTTTGATTCCTGAATACTTGAGCGACTACCAGCAGTCCAGCACTGGTGCAGGTGGAAGGAATCTCTGGTAAATATGCTGTTTATTTTGAAATGGCAAGGGTACATCTGTTCATTTATTCTTTTTTAATCATGCTGCAAAGGGGTAGTGAAATAATCAATAGAGTATTGCTATTTGCTTCTCAAGATTTAGACAGAGGGAACCTGGCAGAGATGTTTGTTTATGTGCAACAGGATGGTCTGTGAATGCTGGAGGGGAATCAGTAATCCTTTGCCAAAGGTTTCTGGAGAGGACTGCCTTATTTCTTCCGCTGTGGTAAGACACTTTCCTATACCCTTCAGAAATTACTTCAGCAGGCATCATTGCAATATGCAGATTACCACAGTATGTTCCTGGTCCGCAGCCAGATGCGTGCAGGAGTTGTTCCATTTTAGCCTCAGCAATCCTCAGGAGTGAGATATTAGCTAACGTCATCACTGTCTGTGGAAAATGGTGCCAATATTCAGTTAGTATTCTGTTCAATTACCATGTCTTTGTATATTCTTGCCTGTGAGTCCCCCCCCACTTTATTGTCTGAGGTTCCCCACCCTCAGACACAAGTTACAAGCACTCACATGTCTGCCTGGGATTCATTGCACACAACAGCATTCCCAGCCATGATGAGTGCTCTATCGAGGTGAGTGATTGTACTCCCAAGAGTACCCCTGTCTATTGTTTCTTTTGCAGCTGACAATGTGGCTTTGAGGGTCTCTCCAAGTATGCCACTAGAGTGGCTCAGCGAGAGAAAGAGGAGAAAGAACAGAACAGGAGAAGACATGTTACAGGAAATCCTACAAGCCTCTTGTGCTTCACAGACAGAGCAGAGGGCTTGGAGAATGGCACACAAGGACAGAATGGACAGGAGAAACAGGAAACAAGAGATGATACCACTTGTCAGGGAGCAAATAGACATACTGCAGTTTCTGGTTGACCTTTAGATGCAACAGATCTGTGCTTGCTTCCCCCTGCAGCCCATAGTGAACTTAATTCTGGCACCTCCCCCTACCATGCGGTGTCTAGGGCCAGTGTAATACCCCTAACCATCCATTCCCAGGTACAGTATAGATCGGGGTGGAGCAATAATTTTTGGTGGGAGGCCACTCCAAGATTTTGGTAAGTGGTCAAGAGCCGCACTTTTCTGTGGAGAGGGTGCAGGTCCTGGGACATTGGTTGGGTACAGAAGGGAGATTGGGGTAGGAGACGGAGATTCAGGAGAGGCTGTGAGGTCTGAGAGGGAGTAGGTGAAGGAGGGGGTTGTGATCTGGGGCAGAGGATTGGGGTGCAGGGTCAAGGAGGGGGATTTGACCTGGAGGAGGGGTACAGGAGGGGGTGCAGGCTCCATGTGCCACTCTGCATGGGGTACCCCTGGCGGAGGGTGGAGGGAGACTTCACACACTGCCCCTACCCCCAGGCCAATCATTGCATTGGTTTCTGGCCAATGGGAGCTACAATGACTGGCCCAGGGGTGAGGGCAGTGCATAAAATCTCGCCTCCTCCACCTCCGTGTCAGCCGGTGGCCGGGGTAGTGTGTAGTCTGTGAGCCCTATGATACCTGAGTCTTCAACTGCTAGGACAGAGTCCCTTCACAGCGGGCAGCCAGAAGAGGCTGACAGGTGCCCCAAAGTTTTACACCCGAGTCTTTGGCTGCTAGGACAGGGTCCCTTTGCAGCGGGCAGCCAGGAGAGGTTGACTGGTGCCCCAGGTTGGTGCAGAGAGAGTTTATTACACCTGAGTTTTTAGCTGCTAGGACAAAAGTCCCTTCGCAGCAGGCAGCCAGGAGAGGCTGATGGGTGCCCCAAGGGTCTGCCCTGTGGAGGCGGCAGAACCCCAATGCCCAGCTCTTACTGCGTCTACCGGCTAGTTCTTTTGATCGTGTCTGGTTCTGATACAGCAACAGAAGGAGTCAGGTTAAAGCTTAAACAGTTACAGGTTTATTAAAGAGACTTATAAGCATACGGTTACAGTGACTATTGTTCTACTTCTTAACTGCTAGCAAATACAGATCTTAAAATGGTTGCAAAGGAAAAGGAAGATAAAATAACGGTACCAAGTGACAGCTTAATCTTTAAAGAACTCTATTCTATGCATGCACTAAAACAAAAGGACACATAAAGATACAATTTTTACCCCCTTCTGCATCTCTCGATTCCAGCGTGTCAGGCCAGGATTGGTCACTCAATTCCTCAGAAAGATGAATACGAGGATGGGCATCCCCGTGTGGACCTTGGGAGACAATAACATAACCCGACCAGCAGGTAGATGGTAGATTGATGCTCAGAGTGAGTGTGCTGCTGGGCCCATCTTTATACCCGTGGGGTCACGTATTCTCTTTCTTATCTATGGTGCCAAATTGTGCTGGTTCGTCTTTGTGACGCCAGTTCTTACAAGGGAGTTGTGAACTTAATTTACACTTGTAAGAGAGATAACTAAATTGGGAGTACTGGACATTCTTTACTCAGCAAGAGATTCCTCTCCCGGGATGGTTGTGTGCTTGTATCAACATAGGTGCCAACCAAGGGCAGTTTCTGCAGCCTCTTGGTCAGTGATTGGCTTGTGTTATCTGTGTTTACAGTTATCTCTCTTATCTGTGTTTACAGTTATCCAGGGTCACAGCAGCCAGCATATTTGGGCCTCTGTCAAGGTATCAAAGACTATGCTGATTTTATTGCTCTCTGTGTCCTGTGTGCTCCAGGCACCTCAGAGGGGCAAGCAAGATGGATGTGATGGTGGGGGCTCTGTCTGGCTACACCCCACCAGGGGTGCATAGTGCCTAGAGGGAGCAGCCAGAACAATTTGAGCAGTCTTGGGCTGCAGCAGGCAGAAAGCCTGCCTTGAAGTTTTGGTAGGACAAGCTGAAGGCCACATCAAAAGGTTTGGCAGGCTGGATTTAGCCTGCAGGCCATATCTTTCCTGCCACTGGTATAGATCCTCACAGACACACATTTGCTGACCTGTGAGAAACAGCTAAGTCCAAAGCAGACTGCAAATAGTTACAAAGGGATCTCACAAAACTGGGTGACTGAGCCAAAAAAATCATCAATGATATTCATTGTTGATACATGCAAAGTAATGCACATTTGAAAACATAATCCCAACTCCACATATAAAACAATGGGGTCTAAATTAGCTGTTAGCACTCAACAAAGGGATCTTGGAATAACTGTGGATAGTTCTCTGAAAACATCCACACAATGTGCAGGAGCAGTCAAAAATGACATTGAGGCTGATCAGCCCCTGAGCAGAACAGCATATTAAGTAACCACTGCTCTACTGAATTGTTGGTTTCCAAGGAACAGCTAACAATGCCATAATACTTAAGATGGTACAAAAGATACATGTAAAATAGCCATGGTTATTCCTTTGTAGGGTCAGATTGTGATGGAATGTAATATTGTTACAGGTGGGTTGACATCAAAGCACTACCAAAGAAATCAAAGAAGCTGATTTGAAATTATTTGGAGCTTTTGTGCCTAGCAAACAGAGCAAAGGAGACTTAGACACTGAAGAGACAGAGGGGAGGTATATTACTTGCCCTTTGTCCTTCAAGTGTGTGCCTGGATGTTTTTATCATTGTGTTTTACTTTCAAGATTGTTCTTCCCAAAGTTCCTTATTAAGCTATATCCCTGAGGTCACAAACTCTTATAAGCCAATATACAATAACTTCACTGACCAGCTCATACAGAGTGTTCACAGAATTATTACATTCATACTCTCAGATTATTACATAGTTACTCTGTGTCTGCAACACTAAATCTCTAGGCCCTGGTCTACAGTAGGACTTTATTTTGAAATAACCCCCATACCAAAGGTCAAATGTATAAGCAGAACATCCACACTACCAAGCCCATCATTTCAAAATAACGAGGTGCGGAATTAGAAATAAATACTCCTGCTTTTCATCAGGAATAACACTAATTCTGAAATACACTCCGAAAGACACTCATACTCCCCCATCTTCTGGCATTTCTATATGAGCAAAAAAAAATGCACCTTTTTGGATGCTTGCTTCAATATGTAAATATTCCCTATGGGTATGTCTACACTACAGTGTTATTTTGAAATATCTTATTTCGAAATAGTTATTTCGAAATAGTGCGTCTCCACACAAAATGCATTTCGAAATAGCATATTGCTATTACGAAATAGTGCATCCACACTGAGTGGACTCTGAATCACATTTAAGGCTGGCCGGAACCAGTTACAATGGGGCACCAGGTCAGGACGTACTGTGTGAGGCTGCTGTCTGAGGCTATCTGAAGTCTGTGCTTAAAGGGATCCTCCCAGAGAGCCAGTTCTCAGGTTTCCCTGCTTGCTTGTCTACCTCAATGAGGGACAGCAAAGCATTTGTGTGTCTGCATGCTCTGCTTGCCCTCACTCGGGACACCACAGCACTCTGCAACATGAAGTCAGAGCTGCCCCTGGGCACTCTGGTGCTTCTCTTGGACGTGTTGCTGTGAGCCTGGCTGCACTTTCTGCAGGTTGCCATCTGGGAGGTCCATTGTGGGGGGGGG